GTCCTATGTGAGGGTCAGTTGGGGAGGGATCACTTCCAGGTTCCTGGGGTTGGTGGCAGCATTCACTTTCTCGCTGGCTGTTGGCTGAGACCACCTTCATTCCCTTATCTGTGTTCTAACTACGTAACAGCTCGCTTCCTCGAAACCAGCAAGGGAGAGTCTCCTAGCAAAATGGGAGTGAGCGTCTTACACAATATAATCACACAAGTGACAGCTTGTCATTTTGCCATATTGTGTTGATTGGGACCAAGTCCCCAGTCTCATCCACACTCAGGGGAAAGCATATGAACACGAGGAGGCGGGCCAGCTTAAAGTCAGTCCTCCTCAACCTCCTTTGATCTCCACTGGGTGGTCTCATAGAATCTGTACTCAGCTAAAAGCCATGAGTCTTTTTTTACACAGATTGTTGCCAGCCAAGTCTTCCCATCTTGAATCATTAATTAATAGAACCTAAGTGCTGGACTTTGTTTATTGGCATTAGGTTTTTCTGTGTTATGTTCAGGAAATTGTTCCAACCTGATTAAATATTTTTTAATCCTAACTCAGCCATCAGAATATTATACATCTCTTCTATTTTGTGTCATTGGAGAATACAAGACATTTTCTTATGTCTTCCTTTAAGTCGTTGAAGATATATATATATACACACAATGTGTGTGTGTGGGGGGGGGGGGGGGAGCTGGAGGAAGAGAGAGAATGAAAAAGCCTAGTTTCTCATATCCAAAACCTGCCTCTAGAATTGGTCAGTTGGCTGTGAATCACTTAATACCATCTGAGCCTCATTTCTCCATTTGGTCTGGGAATGCACCAGACAGCTCTGAAGGGCGTCGTCTTTCTAGTCAAACCAACCTGGTTTTGGATTCCAGCTCCACTTGATAATTCTTTTTCCAGATCAAGAGCACGCACGCAGGACAAGAGTTAGGAAGTTCTGCTTTCTCTCTGGCCACGTTTGAACTTTATACCATCCCTTCCAGAGCGGAGTGTGTGATGGCCAATCCAGCTCTGCTGAGCCCCTTCACATTTCATCAAGGACTTCTCACCAAGGAACCAGAAAAATTCTGGTTCTGTGAAGCCATCATTATCTTAGGGATGTATGTGTGGACTCTCAGAGATTCTGTTGAAAAGTTATAGAAGTTATTCGGATGTTCTCCATTTCCTTAGATTCATGACTAAGTCGGTTTAGAATCATCAGCACTGCCCCTCTCATAAAACACAGAACTAGAGAGGGCATGGGCATGTTCCCTGTCACTTCATCAGGGTGCCCCATGTGAGCCAGTTGTATCTGTGTCTGCTGGGTCAGAATCCCTCTGTCAGAGACTCCCTGACCCTGATCCGGGAAGAACCATAAGCATTCCTTGTTCTGCTTAAACCATGGGTGTTCGTAGGGGAAAGCCCAGGGACTCACTTTTAGCAGCCTCGGGGCAAAGACTAGTAAATGTGAGAATTAGTGAAACGATTGGTAATTTAGAAGAGAAGTCAATGTTTCTGACCAACACGAGTTCTTGAACTCTGAGCGCTAGAGCTTTGGAATTTGTAAACGCTTTAGCAGAGAGCCTTGTTTCCTTTTTCTTGTTTTCCTCTGCCCCTCAAAGAGGCTGTCATGATGGGTGAGGTTTAAACCCGTTCCTGTCAGCACACAGACAGGCCTGGAAGAGTAAATTCCAGGGCATTCGATCCTCATTGATCATGTCCAGGCAGTGTAAACCTTTACTGATAAGGTGAGAGCTCCCCTTGTTTTTCTAGCAGATACTAATAGTCCCAGAATTCACAGTCTTCTGGAAACTGTATACATGTGACTATAGGGAAGACCATTCTGTGGCTGTGGTTTGGCATTTGCTTTCTCCTACCACGTATGCTGAAGAGTTCCAAATGTTTTTCTGGATCTTTTCCCTCTGCTATGCTCCATGTCTATGTTTCTGACTGCCCTCTACACATCCCCTATCTTGATGGGTAGGCATTTCTAACATTTAACAGGCCCAGAACTTAACTCATTGCCCTCAGCCCCCAAACTTGCCTTATCGCCTGTATTCTTTATTTCAGCTAATAACTTCTTGTTCCCCATAGAATAGCTCCTAAACTGAAAGCAATGCATTTTACATCATGACTCACAATGCATGCATGCACACACACACACACACACACACACACAAAACTTGAACTGAGATTTCATAAAACATTATGTATTTTTACCATGTATGTTGCCCTCTGATATTTTCTATGTAATTTTCTCTTTTGAAAAATGCTGATGTCAATACTCTTAAATGAAAATTTATAATCCACGAATGAGTCATCTGTAGTGGGAAAACCTGAAACAGATAAAATTTAGTTTCCTTGGATTTGGTTCTGGCCCTAGCCTCCCTGGCATCCTTCACACTGTTATTAGACACATCATTCACTCATTCAGTCTGTCAGTTGATATTTACTGAGTGTATGGGACACTGTAGGCACTATGGATCCAAAGACAAACACTATGGTCTCCCCTCTGCAGTCCAGGGTCCAATGAGAAGACAGATAGTTAATCTAACAACTATGAGGCAGTAGGTATGTCTTACAGAAGTCTGCAAAATGCCCTCGGAGATCACAAAGATCACCCCATGCAACTTGGACCAGAGAATCCAGACGTCTTTCAGGAAAAGATGAAGCATGAGCTGAAGCTAGAATCGGAGATAGGAGTTAACCTGACCAATTAGGGGCAGGACATTCCAGAAGAATGTACTTTCTCCAAATACCCATGTTGTTCCAGGGCCTGAGCAACATGGGTATTTAGAGAAAGTATTTTGACATAATCTTTTCTTTTTAACCAGAATACTTTCCTGCATTCCCTCCCTTTCTTTACTTGGCCAACTGTCAGTCAGTGTTCCTTCTCCCACTAAGCGATCCTCTCCAATGTAGCTTTTCTCAATGTACCCGCCCTCAGGTAGACCCACGCAATCCCCTCTTTGGGCTCTCACCTCCCTCTCCCTCTCAGAGAGCACTTATGCTGAAGGTAGGTCATCGGTGCCTTTGTTCATCTGCCTCACCAGAGTAGGAGCACCTCAAGACGGAGCCCAGTCTCATCCCTCTGTCTTCTGTGACAAACAGTAAATACTAGTCCAGTGAAGAGATGAACTAGTAAAGGAGCATAGAGATGTGCAAGCCACAGCACAGGGGTAGGGTGAAGCTGCTTAAATGAATATGTACAAGAGTTTTTAGCATATTAAAGCATGTTGTTTTAAGATTAAAATGGGCCGGAGATGCTTATTTACAGATGTGGTAACCATGTTTTAAATGTTGATGGCACGCGGGCTACAATTTTCGTATGTGCACTGTTTTATTTGTAAAAGACTATTTTTGGCTTTTAGAGAATACCAGTTTTTCTTTCTAACTTAAAAGTATCTTGGTGGTAGAATTTCTTAGTTGATTAATATAAATGAAATTCTGATACCGGAGACAACACACACCCACTTTTCCTATTGCACAAGTACCCTATCATCTCTAACCATATATTTCAGCCAAACTGTCTCCCAAAAAGGCTTTTATAAGAAGCAAAATTGACTTTTTTAATTGATTTTTTTTTTTTTTAGAGAGGAAGGATAGAGAAACATAAAACATTGATTTGCTGCCTCCTGCACCCCCTACTGAGGTTCCAGCCACCAACCTGGGCATGTGCTCTGACTGGTCGGTGACCTCCTGGTTCATGGGTCGACACTCAACCACTGAGCCACACTGGCAGGGCCCGAAATTGATGTTTAATACTTCGTTTCCTTTGGCCACTAGCTGCCAAGTTTGTATTTCCTGTGCCCATTGTCCCAGGAGTTGTAGGCAGGAGACGAATTGGAGACCTGGAACCTCAAATTCCTCTTGTTTTGCCAGCTTCTGGCTTTATCTCTTGCCATTTTTAACCTCTTTGACTCTTCGTGCTGGTTCATGATAGTTGGGGTTAGAGCATGTGGCATTGATTCCTGTGGAAAAAAAGTAGGCGGACTAGGTTCTCCCACATGGCCAGCGCTTCCCTCACCTGACCCCGTGTCCTGTGGGTGCTCTGAATTCTGTCTAATAGGGACATAGTGCTTGCTGCCGGCCAGGTTCTGTTCTCACCACAGATGAGGGAGGTGCTCTTACCATCTCCAGTTTACAGATGAGGAGGTTGATGCTCGGTGAGGTGATTTCTTGCCCAAGGTCCTACAACTAGTAAGTAAGTAGAGGTGCAGGGGGTCTGTCTCCGGGGTCTGAGCTCTCAACCCTTCAACTCCACTCTTCTCAGTCGGTGACTTACCATGACCATGGAGTGTAATAGTCATAGATGGTGGAGTTGGAAATTCAAATGAAGTGTAAAAGTGCAGGCCCAGTTATATGGGAGCTGGAATTGCCCTTTAATTCCTTTAACCAGATCAAACGTTGTGGTGATAGAAAAGCACACAGGGAAAGAAGGTAGAAGTGCGGGTAAGGAAAGGAGAAAGTTCAGGGAGAACAGTATTTTGGGACGGGGAACCTATGAATCACATAATTAAAGATGTTAACTGTAATGAGCATATGGCCAGTAGAGAAGCGAGCCTCCCAGGCTGTCCATCCTGCTTCTTTGAAACTGCGATGCTCAGACAGAGGATGTGGGATGAGAAATGACAGATTCTTAGAACTGTTTAATGACTAGACATCTGATACCGGAGTGAAGGACAAAAGCTCATGCAAGAATCATGAGGGGCACGGGCATACTTTATTCAGTTCCATGAAGATGATAGCTTATCGTTTGGGTTCTAAACCTACTTATTAAGTTTGGAGTTGATAAAATGCAGCCGATTTCACTTGTCTTACCTCATTCAGCTGCATATGTTAAAGCACAGACATTCATCTTGGGTGGCTCTTTAGCTGGGTTTGGGTTTTACTGAAATAAAATTCCTGGCACACGATAATGGAAAAGAAAAAAAAAAAAATCCAGAGTTTCATCATATGCAGTGTACTGGAGAATTTTGAGTGGTTTGGAAATAATAAGTCTGTTTCCACAATTTCCTGCTCTCCACTAGGTTCTTGGAACGCCAAATGAGGACACTTGGCCTGGAGTTCACTCTTTACCACATTTTAAGCCAGGTATGTTTCATTCATCTCAAATGACTAAATGCTTCCTATATGTAAAAGGTGAAGATATAAATGTTCCCCCTCAAACTCATATATTACCTTGAAAATTTCTTGTTACTTTCGTCATTGTGTATTCTACATATAAATGGAGTTGTCTTTTATTTTCACATTTTATTTTTCTTATAAAGATAGAATAAATGATATCCCTCAGAAGAGGTTTTCATCATGAGGGTTGTAATTCATTTGACTTGGCAGGCTAATCTTGAAGCAAGCATTCATTTCATTATCAGCTAGATTAGCATCTATGTCTATAAAACAAAATTTAAATCGGGGTACGACAATCTGTGTGACTCCTTGTAATAATACTAGGAAAAGTATTAATTATAAAAAGGAAAACATCACATTTTGATTTCTTTTTTAAAAACTAGCAACTTATGGTCAGTGAATTTGAGTTTAAACAGATGAAATGTTCTGAATGTCCTATTGTACAGCTTTCAGTCTTTTTAAATGTAAAATATTTAAACACCTAAACGGGAAAATCTGAGAGAAAAATGCAGTACTTGTAAAAATGAACTGTCAGGTTTTTGCTCACCAGGAGGTGGCAGTCAAGAAACTTCCAACTTTAATGATTATATTAAACAGAAGAAGAATCTCAAACTTGGTCTGTTTAACTTTTATAGGAGGGATGAAAGGTTTGCAATTGGAAATTTAATAAAAATCAGTGAAATGAATTATTGTAAAATGATTCTCTTGTTGGTTGTTGGGTTTTTATTTCTTAGTTACAAAACATGTATTATAAAATGCAGACCCACCATAAAATTACTGAAAGGGATTTTATGGAAGATCTAATAGTTCATTATTTTATGAGGGAAAAGAACTATGAATAATTTCTGTAATTGGGGCCAACTATATTCTTTTTCTCCACTTCCCCTCTTTTGGGGGACCATCAAGAATAAATTATGACCGAATTTGGAAACTATTTTTATTCTTAATATTTTTCTTCTGAAAGTATAGAGTGTGTACTGAGAATTCTTTTATCTTCTTCAGTGCCCAAGGACTCTCTGTACTTTTACTAAAAATTTTACTAACTTCTGTGTTCTAAAAGACTATAGCAACTTAACAATTTAGATGGATTTTTATCTCTTCTTTTTTTCAACTGAGCAAGAATCATCCTCCAACTGCTCCAATTGTACCTAGTGAGTCTAAGTGAGAACACAGCCCTTTGTAAATGTTCCAAATTTGGGCTCTTAAAGAAGGTTAGTATCTAGCTTATAAAGTCTGAAGAAATAAGACAAAGGAGACTGTGAAAAAAATTAAATGAATAAAGATGGGTGCAGAAAGAAACAATTAAGATCGGTAGTCATTTGGCCTGCCAAGTTTCTGCACTAGAAAACATGAAGGAATTTGTTGATTTTGGTGTAAATAGAATTTATCTTCCTCAACAACCTACAAAAGCATGTATCACATGTGTCCTGGAAAGTAATATGATGTAGTAGAAAATAAGCTAACAGATTGAGAACTGCATGAGATCAGAGACTGCACATAATACCTATTTTGATGTTCAACAAATGTTTGTTTCTCTGAATTATATTGAATTAGAGGCTCAGGGCATGAAATTCGTGCACGGGTAGGGTCCCTAGGCCTGGCCAACGATCAGGGCTAATCAGGGCCTTCTGGCTGCCGACCAAGGCCTTCCTACTGCTGGCCAGGGCCTTCCTTCATTCCATGCCACCACCTGGTGGTCAGCGCACGTCATAGCGAGCAATCGAACTCACAGTCGAACTCCTGAGGGGACATTTTGCATATTAGCCTTTTATATATACAGAGGAGTAAAACAGACATTACTTATGACTGTTTTGATAGATATATAAATTAGGACATATATGTTTAAGTTATTAATATGATGTACAGGTGTCACTACAGATATATGGGACATAATAGGTCAGCGGAATCCAAAAGAATAACATGTGCAGATGGTGTAAGGCATGGGAGCTGATAAACAAGAAAGATGTTATGGGCCAAGCTGGAGGCTTGAGGATGAGAGAAGATGTGGGAAATGCTTCCTGAGTTGGCTTGAGAAAAGTCAAGGGAAGACAATATATTAGATTGAGGCAAAGGAAGCCAATCTATGAGTCCTTTCATGCAGCCCAGTAACCAGACCATCAGGGGTCCTCGTCTCCCCCAGTCTGGACCTCATACTCCAGGGAAGAAGATGCACATTCCAGGAGGATAAAGGGATCAGTGGTAGTTCCATCAACCCTTCACCTCCTTATTCTGCCCCACAGCGTGCCTTGGAAAGTCTGAGGGAAAACAAAACATCTGAGCCATGAGGACATACTTTGTTTTGTTTTGTTTAATAGACTTTAATTTTTTTAGAGCATTTTTGGTTCATAGCAAAATTAAGTGGAAGGTACAGAAATTTCCCATATATGCCTTGCCCCATATATGCACCGACAACCTCACCATATCAACACCCCCACCAGAGTGGTACATTTGTTACACTGATGGACCTTCATTGACATGTCAATATTACCCAAAGTCCATAGTTTTCATTAGGATTCATTCTAGGTGTTGTATAGTCTATGGATTTGTACATATGTATAATGACATGTATCCACCATCATACTATCACACAGAGTAGTTTCCCTGCTCTAAAAATCCTCTGTGCTCTGCCTTTTTATTTCTCATTCCCCCCACCCCCTGGCAACCACTGATCTTTTCACTGTCTCCACAGTTTTGCCTTTTTAAGAATGTCATACAATTGGACTTATACAGGATGTTGCCTTTTCAGACCGGCTTCTTTCACTTAGTAATATGCATTTCAGTTTCCTTTATGTCTCCTCATGGCTTGATAGCTGATTTTTTTTAGAGCTGAATATTCCGTTGTCTGGATGTTTATTCACTCACTCACCTACTGAAGGACATCCTGATTGTTCCAAGGTTGGACGGTTATGAATCAAGCTGCAGATTGTTATGTGGATAGAAGTTTTCCGCTCCTTTGAGTAAATACCACGGAGTGTGATTGATAGATCGGACATGTTTTGCTTAGTTTTTGAATAGGTCATAAATTTAAGCAACTCAAGATATCAAACAATACTGAGAGAAGCAAAGCCTCCCATCTACCACTTCCCCAGCATCACTGCCCCACCACAGGCTCCATTTTACTAGTTTCTTATGTTCCTTTTCTTTATGTAAATGAAATAAATTATAAAAGTATATTTTTATGGTTCGAATATTAAACACACTTTTGGCCTTGCTTTTCTCACTAATGCGTCCTAGGGCTTCCCATGCAGAGGAGGCCTGTGAGCTTCTCTCTTCTCTTACAGCTGCACTGTTTCCCATGGCATGGATTTAACCTGTTCCCCACGTATGGACATTTGGGTTGTTTCTAGTGTTTGGCTATTATAAATATTAAAAACATGTAGATAGGCACATACAATACACATTGCATGTATGCAAGAATATCTGAGCGATAAGTTACCGGATGTAAGGTTAAAGAATCAATAAGTACTTAAGGCTATAATTTTGAACTCTTATGTCGGGCTGTTGTCCAAAGAGATGGTACGAGCTGGCTCTGTGACCAGCAATAGTACTGGGTGGTGAAGAGTACTTGGAGGAAAATAGAGCAAGAAATGGGCTCAGGCAGTGCCAGGAAAGGAGGTGATTTACAGTTTTAAATGGTAAATATAATCAAGGAAAGCCCCACTGAAAAGATGACATTTGACTGAAGGACATGAAAGAGCCATCAAGAGATGGAAGAAGGAACTAGGAGAAGCTCCAGGGCAGTCTAGTCCTGCTCTCTGCTTTGTAAGGTGAGGGCCTGAGGTCAGGATGTTGCAGGACGCCCTGCGTTAGTGGAGAGGTGGAGTGGCCTAGCTCTCCCTGGGTTTCTGTTCAGTCCTCCCTGTTCCAGTGCACATCGCGGAAGATCCTGCTGCTGGATCTGAATTGTGATTTCTCTCTGACCTTCTTCTACTGAACATTATTTCTTGACTCAACCTCTTTTTTTTGTTGTTGTTTGCAAAGAACTTTACATTTTATTTTTCAATTCCAGTTTACATTTAATATTATTTTGCATTGGTTTCAGGTGTATAGCATAGTGGTTAGACAATCATATACTTTACAAAGTAGTCCCCTGATATTCCCACTACCCACCTGGAACCATACACGATGCCGTACAATATTATTGACTATGTTCCCTATGTTCTTTATGGACAATTAGTTTATAAAGAACATTTCAGAGAAGTAGAGAAGATCTGATCTCTGTATTTAGTAAAATACATCAAACTGCAAATATCACTTGGCATTAAATAGTTTGGCCCCGAAATAACATGTAGATTCCATGTCTGATACTTTCAATCACTTCTTAAATGCTTCCAACAAAACAGGCATTTAACAGCTATTGAATGACAAATTATTATCCAGGAGTTTAAAAAGAAAGGCACTGTAAAATTCGGGGGTGAGGGTGGAGGGTGACGTAGGAAATGTTCCCAGACAAGAAGCAATTAAAAGCATGTAATGGCAAGTCCTGGCTTGGGAGAAGTTACTCTCACACCAGTTGGGAGTAATATCATAGGGACAGCTTTCCCCCCATAGGTCCTTCGCTGGCCGAGGACTTGATATGAAATGTCATAGATACAGCCAATGCTATAACATGAAAATAAAAAATAGCCAAAAATCTTGATAATCACTCAAAAATGTAAAATACAGCAATCCTCCTTGTCCACAGTGTTTTCTGCATTTCAGTTACCTGTGGCCAACTGAGGTTTGAAAATATTAAATGGGAAATTCCAGAAATAAACAATTTATAAGTTCTAAATTGCATGCCGTTCAGAGTAGTGTGATTAATTCTTGGTCTGTGCCTCTTGGTCCTTCTCTGTCCTGCCTGGGACATGAATCATCCTTTTGTCTCATGTATTCACAATGTATACTCCCCCTGCCCAGTAGTCAGTAGTTTATCATTTACTAGACTGTCCTGTAATCTAGTGCTTATGTACAAATAACTCTTATTT